CGCATTTTTCAGGGGGCGGCAAAAAACGCCGCCCCCCAAATGCCCAGGGCAAATGCCTAGTTAGCCTTGCGGCAAAGTGAGGCTGGGAGCCGGAAGATGACGTCATATTCCGGCTCCCAGCCTCACTCTGCGGGCGGCGCGCGAGGGAGCTGAGCAGTCAGCTCAGAGGAAGTGCTCCCTCGCCAGCCGCCCGCACAGCAGCCAGAGCCTCCCAGCCCGACCGGCAGCCACTGGACCACCAAGGAGAAAGAGACTCCCCCCCAGCACTCCCAAAGGTAAGGAGGTTGGGGGGGGGGATTTAAATAAAAAAAAAAGTTAATGTGTGTCTGTGTGTGTGTCTGACTGTGTGTGTGTGTTTGTGTCTGACTGTGTGTGTGTCTGACTGTGTGTGTTTTTGTCTGACTGTGTGTGTGTGTTTGTGTCTGACTGTGTGTGTGTGTTTGTGTCTGACTGTGTGTTTGTGAGTGTGTGTGTGAGTGTGTTTGTGAGTGTGTGTGTGTTTGTGTCTGACTGTGTTTGTGTGTGTGTGTGTGTGTTTGTGTCTGACTGTGTGTGTGTGTGTGTATTTAGAAGGTGGGGCGGGGGGAAGGGTTGGGTGGGGGTGGCGCGGGGGGAGTGGTGCGCCTGAGTTTTGTCCTGCCTAGGGCAGCACAAAACCAGCATACACCGCTGCAACCACCACTGCTCAAATCCAAACTGAAGATAAAAAAAGGGCTAATAAAGGGAGTTCTCTGCTGACACCTTCATTTCAGCTTCTGAACAATCATGTTCTCAAATTGCTATTCTTGATCCCAGTGCTCAATATCACAATTATTTTTAACAAAGTAAATAAATGAATATTCCAAACACAATACAATTGGAGTAAAGCTGTGGTAAAGCTTTATTGAAATGCATTTTTGAAAGCTACACTTTGTACTATTTAAATAAACACGATAACTTTGTAAGTATCCAACCTGAAACAAGATACCCAGCATCAATATAGAGAATATAGCTATGCACTGCCTTAAAGGGACACTATAGTCACCTAAGCAACTTTAGCCTAATGAAGCTGTTTTAGTGCATAGATCATACCTCTCAGGTTTCACTGCTCAATCCACTGCCATTTAGGAGTTAAATCACTTTTTCTGTTTATGCAGCCCTTGCCACACCTTCCCTGGCTCTGACTGACACAGCCAGAGCCAGCCTAGCTTTATTCTCACATGCAATACCATAGGCAGCACCACACATACACACATAGGCGTGCGCAGCCAATTGCATTAGGGTGTGCACCCTAAAGCACAAACACACGCCACGCGCGTGTGTGTGTATGTATCTCTCTCTCTCTCTCTCTCTCTCTCTCTCTCTCTATATATATATATATATATATATATATATAAACACACACACACACACACACACTGCTGTGTGTGCTGTTAGTGTGCTGTGTGCTGTTAGTGTTATGTGTGTGTGAGGGTGCGTGTTTGTGACTGTGCTGTTTGTGTGTGAGGGTGTTTGTGTGTGTATGTTTGTCCTGTGAGGGTGCTATTTGTGAGGGTGCTGTTAGTGTGCTGTGTGTGAGGGTGTTGTGTTATTTTTAAAGGTGCTGTGTGTGTTTGTGAGGGTGCGGTTAGTGTACTGTGTGTGTGTGAGCTGTATGTGTGTAGGTGCTGTATGTGTGTGTACTGTATGTTTGGAGGGATTTGGCAGATTAGTAAATCCTTGCTGCCATGTGCCATCCCTGGTGGTCCAGTGGAGAGTGAACTCTAGCCTGCGGGGCTAGAGTTAACTCTCGCGAGATCTGAGCGTTGCCACAGCAACGCTCAGATATCGCGAGAGGAACCTGGCGGAGCTTCTGTCTAGAGCTCCCTGGGTCCTCTACTGCCTCCCTCCAAGCTGCTGTGGGCCGGTGAGGTAGATCTTTGGTCTCCCCGCCGGCCCATGAAGGCTTAGAGCAGAGCCGGCACTCAGATAGCGCCGGCTCTGCGTGTGTATGTGTGTATGTGTGTATGTGTGTATATATATATATATGTGTATATATATGTACACACACACACACTGACAGACACACACATACACTCACAGACACACACTCACACACACACTGACACACACACATACATACTCACAGACACACACTCACAGAAACACACACACACTCACAGAAACACACACACACTCACAGAAACACACACACACACAGACACACACTGACACACACATACTCACAGACACACACACACTGACACACACACATACTCAGACACACACTCACAGACACACACTGACACACACACACATACATACTCACAGACACACACTCACAGAAACACACACACACTCACAGAAACACACACACACACACACACATACTCACAGACACACACACACTGACACACACACATACTCACAGACACACACTCACACACACATACTCACACACACACATTATTATATATATATATTTTTTTTAAATGTCCACCCAGCCTCCTACCTGGAGTGCTGGTGGACTTGTCCCTGGGGTCCAGTGGGGGCGGGCGCCTTTCTCCAGTTCAGCCGCGGCGAGGGAGCTCTCTGCTCTCTGCTGTCTGCTCCCTCTCGCCGCGCGGGCTGTCTGCTGGAGCTGGGAGCCGGAATATGACGTCATATTCCGGCTCCCGGCATCAGCGCGCGGCGAGAGGGAGCAGACAGCAGAGAGCAGAGAGCTCCCTCGCCGCGGCTGAACTGCGGGGCGGGGGGTAATCCATCACCTCTTGCCCTCCCCTCCCCCATGACAGGGGCAAGAGGTGAGACAGGGGGGCGCTGAGTGCCTGCAGGAACAGCGTTCCTGCTCAAAAAAAGTGCAGGAACGCTGTTCCTGCAGGACTCAAGCCATAGGCGTGCCACGGGGATTAGGGTGTGCCCAGGCACACCCGGCACACCCCGTGCGCACGCCTATGCATACACACATCACCAATCACACAATGTGACATATCATCCAGACACACAGTTACACAAATATCACAAACTACTCATGAACATACAATATAACAACCCACATACACACAAATACAATGCTACAAAGCAACTGCAGCAGCCCTAAATAACACAAGCACAATAAGGCAACATACACATCTCAGTGTAAAAAAATAGATATGGCATACCCAGGGATTTCAAGATCTTATTTTGGCACTACTAAAACGTTGCCTACCCCTGGTATATGCGTACAATGAAACTACAAATGATGTAATCAGCTAATTGAAATACTAGATAAAGACCACAGCATAAACAGAAATAATAAAAAGGGTTGGGAGGGAAAGGTTGGAAGCTGCGAAAGTACTTCAACACTGTAGTTATTTTTTGGCCACTATTTATAAATTTGCAAGGCAATTCTAGTAAATTCCCCCAACAATTCATTATATTACAATTTGACAGTGCGACCTGAACTGTTCAGCTTGTGCAATGCCTTATTCAAAACCAATAGTGTATGGGAAGCAACGGAACACTGAACTTTTAATTCCTCCATTCCTTACATACAGAAATGGAATGAATTGTGCCATGTCTGCTTATTTTTATCACTGTGCAATTATGCAAACATTTTGCTTTTATGACTTCATCATCAATATAAAAGATGTGAATGTGTATCTACAGTTCTAACCTTGTGCGTGCATCTTTTAGGAGGCATGCT